CTGTTCGTGAAGTCACATATGGAAGATTCTTCAGACCAAAGAGCGTGCTCCTGTTTCACTCCAGTGAGCTCATAAAGGCAGCGGCACCCTGTCCGGACGGAACGGTCCACAGTCTCCGAGCACCGGGCACGCCCTCACGCCCACGAGGCGCCCTGGGGACAGACGGGAGGACACCTGCCCCCCCACCCCGAGGTGCTGCCGCCGCCGAGGTCCTTCCTGGCTGCCGGGGTGAGGGGTGCTTTTGTTTTCGACTCTAGGGTAGCTTCTACTTTCTTTTTTAATGGGCGTGCATCACTTTTATAGTCAGGGAAAAAGCCATAAAAAGCAGGCAGGTGCTTCTCTCCTCCTCATGCCGTTGAAAACAGGAGTGTCTGTCACCGCTGCTGGAGCCCTGGTCCGCCCGTGACGCCGACCGGGAGGTGACGGTGTCAGGCCACCACGCGCCGCATCTCGGCAAGGGGCGGCTTCACCACGGCGCCGGGCGGCGTCTTCCACTCCGTCTTTGCAGGCTGAACCCTGGGTCCTTGGGCTCCAGCTGAGGTGGCAGTGCCCACCTCGCCAGACAGGGAGTGTCCCACGGTGGACCGCCCTGAGTGGGCGCCCCCACCCAGGATGCGTCACGGCCAGTGGGGGATGGGCTGAGGGCCACCCTCCCCCGTGAGCGGACACAGTGCACGGACCGGGCTGGGAGGCGGAGCCAGGCCAGGGTCGCCCACGCCTCGCCCACGTGGGCTTTGTGTACGTGTGCAGTGGCCGAGAGGACAACCCAGGGGGCTCCTGGAGCCGGCCACGTCGGAGGGAGCCCAGCTCCCTGGAAACCAACGAGACCAGGACGCGGCGTCTCCTCCCGGAATCAGCCGGAAACACAGACGCCTGGAGCAGCAGGCGAGGACCGGGTTGCCTCGTCCAGCAACAAACGCGCTTGTGGGGACCCGCGTCGGGCGGTCCCTGAGACGCGAGGACCCCTCACGAGTCTCCGGAAAGGGCCGGTCAAGCGTGCTGGCTTCCTCGTCCCCCGGGCCTGTCCTGGGCACCGCTGCTCCTGCTGAGACGGCTTCCGTCCGGCGGGGGACACGTCGGCCACACGGCAGCTTCCACCGGAGCCCAGGCCGCGGCGAGGCAGCCACGGTCCGAGGTTCTGAATCTGGGGTTCGGTGGGGCGAGCGTGCGTCGGGCAGGGTCTCCGCCACCGCAGCAGCCCCTCTGGCCGCCCCGTCGTTGGCCCCCCACCCCCCTCGGCCGACCCGGGGCTCTGGGGTCCTCCCCTCGCCACGGCAACCTCAGGCACGGGGACCCCGGAGTCCTCCCCCGTCCCGCGTGAGGACCCAGATGCCGACGTCGAGTCTTTCATCTGCGCTGCGACCTCACCTTAGTGTGGGGTGACTCCCCAGGGCCACCGCGTCCCTGGGCTCAGCACGGGGACCTGGGCGGGGCAGGGGTCCCCCCAGCTCGGCTCGTCCTCTGCACAGCGCAGCAGGGACCCTCTGGGCTGTCCCCCGGGGCATGCCCGGGGCAGAGGGCGTGGGGACGGGCAGAGCCCCCAGCCACTAAGCGGCACCCTGAGCGGGAACCTGGAGTGGGGGCTCTGAGTGGTGCTCTGGAACTTGCTTTGTGCTCGGCCTCCTGCTAGAAGGTTCTGGGGCCTCTGAGTGTCCCACTGTCCCAGTCCCCGTGGCCACCAGCCCCTGTCTTTCTTCCTCTCTGTTGAATCCTGGGAAAAGAAATGGGGCTCTGCCTGGGTTCCCGTGGTAGGAGGGCGTCTGGCGTCCGGCGTCCGGCGCCACCAGGGTGCCTGTGAGCATGGCGGGCGACAGAAGCCCCTCCCCGCCCTTCCCTCCCCCCCTGCCCCCCCCCACCCTGTTGCTGAGGATGGTGGAGGTTACACGAATTGGCCTGCCAGCTGCTGGCAGAGGCCCCTGCACACAGGGCCCTGGACGGGTGCCAAGCAGAGAGCCTCCCAGACTCTCCGGGGGCCCGGGCGCCCCGGACGGGAGGGCCCACCTGCCGGCAGAGCTCTGGCGCCACCCTCGTCCACGGCCTTGCTGCAGGTCCGTGAACCTCCCTGAACCCGCCGGCTCTGGTGGCGCCCGGGGACCAGCAGCTGCCGGGGGTTCCTCAGGGTGGAAGGTGCAGACAGCTCTGGGCAGGTGGGGTGGTCGCGGGAGGTGGACGGCGATGGTCAGCCACCATAAAGGTCAGCGAGGGGGGTGCAGGGCTGTGGCGGTGGCCGGCGGCCCCCTCCGCCCCCTCCAAGGCAGGCTCATGGTTAATTACTGTTTTGCTGAAACCATTGATTTTTATAAGTAATCCTTGTGGGATAGCATCTCTGGCTTATCTCGTAGCTGGCTTAGCAGTTTTTTTTTCTTTTTGGCTGGACCTCTCTTATCTCTCTGTTATTTACTGAACTCAGGGATTCTCTCGGCCCTCAGGGACGGGTGTTATGGTAATTATTTATCAGCCAGCAGGGTTCGCGGAGCACCCGCACCCGTCCGAGGGTGAGCCGAGGGGCCCTCCCGGGAAGCAGCCGGTGTCCTGGGCGGCCTCCGGCTCTGCGGACGGCTCGTCCCTGTGGCGTCCAGCTGTCTGCGGCGCCTCCCAGCATCTCCTCTCCCTCCCAGGCGTGTGCAGTCGAGCGTGTGGAGGCCCTGGGTGGATGCCTGACCGGGGGGTGGGGGGGCGGGGGGGGCAGGGGAGAGATCAGCGGGAAGACACCAGACCCCAGCTTACCTGTGCACGCCCAGCGCGGGAGATCCTCAGCACCCCCCGCCCCCCGTGCACGCAGCCCCTGACAGCGTGCACACGCGTGGGAGCTCCCATGTGCTCTCCGTGGGCTGGAGGCTCCGCCCCCTCCCCAGGCGCCCGGTTCCGGGGCCGGCACTCCGGGCCTCTGTCCAGCGCACCCACCGGCCAGGAAAACACTCGTCAGCACCGGTTATCAGCTTCCCGTCTCTTCCCCTGATGACACTCCGTCGATTCCGTGTGTGCACCGGAGACGGCACATTTGCATTTATAACCAGACGAGCCCGAGTTAAAAACTGCCCCCCGCCCCCCGCCACGTGCTTTCCTCTGACCGGCAGACACGTGCACTCCTGACAGCGGGACCGTCACGGGGGGACAACGCTGTCCCCACACTTCCCCTCACACAGCAGCCTCCGCCTTCGCAGCCGTTTCTCGGGGAACGCCGACGGTGTCTCAGTCACCAGCAGACCCCCGCTTGGAACGGGGGTGACATGTGTTGAAGGGGTTCTCCGGGCAGCGCTCCCCGAGGGCTCGGGCTGGGGAACTCTGACCCCCCCACCGGGCCCCACCTGCGGACCTGGCTGAGGCGGGCGCGCGAGTGGGTGGGGCCCCGTGGGGACAGCCTCGGGGCAGTGACACCCGTGCGGACAGTGCGGAGGGAGCGAAGCCAGGTGGGACAGACGTGTTTGCACGGGGTGTCGCTGGGAGCTGATGTTCACCCACGCGCTGCCTCAGTCGGCACACGCATGCCCAAACGGCCGCGCCGTGTGACCCGGGACACCTGTTCTGGAGCGACGAATGTGGAAGTTAACTTTTCCCCCAGCCCAGTTGTGTAGGTCGTGGTCTTTATCGTAGACACCACCGAGCGAGGTGGGGCTGGCTGGGGGAACGTGGTGCATCCGTGCGGCCGGCCCCTGGCCTGGGCTCCTGGGCTCCGACCCGCCGTGGGGCCTGAGGAGGCCGTTTGATGACACGGGGACGTGTTGATGTTGTGACAGCTCAGGACAGGGGCTCCCCGACGACGACCCCCCCGCTGGGCGCTGAAGCCCACCTGCCGCTTCCCAGCCCCCTCCCCCACTTTAGTCGTCTCCACCGCGCACCGGCCTCACACACAGGGGCCCAGCGAGGAGAGCGTGGCCCGCGTGGCCCCACCGGTGGGCGTGCTCCCGAGGGCGGCCTTCCGTGAGCTGCACCGTGTCCCTGCGAGGGAAACCTGCGTGGCCTGGAGCCGACCAGAGGGAGCGGTGCTGCCGGCCGAGTGGACACGCAGCGTGGGCAGGGAGGTGGGTTCGTGGTCGGCTTGTTCGCTGCGCCCGCCGGGAGCCGTCCCGGGCCCTGGACGTCCCTCCCGACGCGGAGGGACCGGCTGCCGAGGTCTGGCCGCGTGGACACGGCCCCTGCGGGCGACCGCGTGCCTTCTGCCAGGGATCCTGGCTTCTCTCTGCAAACCACCCCTGGGGGCCCGGGGCGGGCGGAGGAGTCGCAGGAAGGGAAATGCCACGTGAAAAGTCGTGCACCGTGTTACGATTAAAAAAAAATTTCTAAATTGTTTTCCACAGCTGGGCAAACGAGATTTCCACCCTCAGTATAAGCTGGCACCTACCAAATATGTCTTAGAAGCCGTTATTTCAGGGACTGAGGATTCCGTTTCTTTAAAGTTTCACAGAAGCAGCAGAGACACGGGTGGACTTCCAGATCCCTCTAATAACGAACGCCCGAAGTCCCAGCTGGAGTCTGCGTGTGGGGCCTGCGCCCTTGCCAGGCGCTCAGCCGGGGCTGGGGCTCCCCGCTGCCGTGGCCGGCCAGGTGGCAGCCACGGCTCCGGGGCCCTGTCCGCTGGAGCACAGCCCCTCCCCCCTGGTCCCCTCCCTCACGGCCTTGTCCCTGGGCCTCAGCAGCCCCTGCCCCCAGTGCCCGCACACTCCCCCATTGTCCTGACTCCGTAGGGCCCGCCGGGAGCCGTCGGGGCGGTGCACACATGCACCCTGCAGCCCAGGCCCGTCTCTTTAAGGACCGGGTGGCGGTCGGCGCTGGGACTCACTGACCGTCACATGGGGTGCGTGCTCCATGCACCCCCGACGTTGGGAAAACTCTCCACTCTTATCGCTGGGAGAGCGGCCCGTGGTCTGCACATCCCAGAAAGGGGGCTGGCTCCTTGCTCCTGCCTGCTCCCTGAGCTCACGTGTTGTACAGCGAAGTGGCATCATCGTCCCCTGTGGCCCCGGTGGCCCCCAGCTGACCCTGGTGTCCCTCTTCCGCAGGAGGTTGCCACAACAGCCTTAAGCCCGTCGGCACCAGCCCCGCCATCGCCATCGCCGCCGCTGCCGCTGCCATGGTCTCCGTGGACCCCGAGGGACGTGGGGGACCGTCCCCCTCCCACGAGCACCCCTGCCACTTCCTGACGCTGGCGCCCATCAGAATACCCCTGCGGACCACCCCCTTCTCTGGTAAGCGAGAGCACGGCTCTCAGAGCCTGAGCTGGCCCCGGACCCACCGACCCACCGTGTGGGGAGCGAGGAGGGACCAGCCGGCCGCAGGTGCCGGGCCGGGCCGGCTCCGCTGGGTCGGGGGGGCGGTGCAGCAGGGGCGGGAGGGACCCCCGGTGTGCATGGCGTCAGCCCACACACAGGGTCTCGTCGAGTCCGTGGGGCGTTTCCTTCCGGACAGCAAAGCCGACGGTCCCCGCTGGAGAAGCGCCACTCCCTCACTGACGCGTTAGTTGGGGTGGGGCGCAGTAGGGCGGCCGAGAAGTCCGAGGCGCCTTCCCGTGCGGGGGGGGGGGGGCAAGCACAGGCAGCGTGCTGGGAGACCGAGGGTGGTCTCGGCCAACAGGAGACGGAAACGTGGGCCGTGGGTGTTGGGGAGAAATCGCTAAGACGCCCACCTGGGCCTGTCAGCTGGGCCCCTCGGCTGGGCGGGGCCCCCGTGGGAGCCCGCTGGAGCCTGTGGTCGCAGAGGGCAGATGGCCGTGGAGGTGACCGAGTCCTAGCGCTGTGGGTGGGCCCTCTGACGGTCCCCAGGGCGGCATGGGGCAGGCGGCCGTCCTGGCGTCCTGGACGGAGCCGGGTGAGCTGGGGCTCAGGAGGGCCCCAGGCCCTGGATCGTGGCACCTCCACGGTCCACGTGTTCGCCGCCGCCCACCGGTGTCTGTGGACTGTAACCAGCGCGTCCCGTGTCCAAGCCATGAACACGTGTTCGGTCCCCTCCCCGGCACGCAGCAGCAGCCGTGTTGACCGGGCGTGACGCTCAGCAAGGACTCGAGTCTCGGGGGCCAGTGCTCGCACTCTGGCTCTCGCGTTTCGTGCGATGCGCGGACTCGAACACAAGTCCCGCGGGATTCCAGCCCTCGGTTGACCCCGGAGCGGATGCCAGAATTCCAGCCCCAGCATTAGAGCCGCCATCGGCTCCGCTGCCCGCAGCAGGACACAGCGCCGGGCGGGTGCCCGCAGACACAGGTTCGTGGCGGAGAGAGGAATGACCCAGGTGCGTCCAGGTGGGGCGTTTCTGCTTGTGCCCCTCGAGTCGGGTGAGCCCAGTGCGTCTCCCCGACACCGGCCCCCTGGCCCCCGCGTTCGTCTGCGGGGCTGAAGAATGAGCCGGGTGGCAGGCGGCAGGACGCTGTATCCTCGGGAACAGACTCTTTTCCCCGCCCCCGCCCCCGCACGCACACGCATTCAGGGCGCGACAGGGGGACGAATGAGCCGCAGAGATGATCTCTTGCGTGGAACGTAATTTACAGCCGTGTCAAGATCGTGGTTCAGATCCATCAATCCGCTGGCGTTTACGAAGGATGACTTGCTGGTTCCCAAGAAAATTAATCTCAGAAAGAGCCGAACACCGTGGGGCCTGGGGGTGGCTTCCCCTCGCGCGTCTCCGCAGGACCCATGAGGCGACACCCTGACTGGGCGCCTCTCCACGTCGGCGGCGTCTGAGGCTCCGTGACCGCGTGCGCTGCTCTGTGCGCCCGGGCAGAGAGAGGTCGGGCAGCGTCCCGTCTTCTGTGTCCATCTCTGGGAGCTGCCCAGACACGGTCGGGGAGGTGGGAGGGGCGGGCTCCGGAGGCCACTTCTGAAATTGCCTTGACGGTGTCGGCCGCAGTCCATTTGCGCCGGAAGCCTCGCTTTACCGTGGAGGCACGGGGTTGACGCTGGAACACGGGCCGGAGGCTGGGGCCGGGCCAATGCCCCAGCCCGGGGGGTGGCCCCTGAGCCTGGTGGGTGGCCGGTCCCAGGCGTCTGTGCCAGGCAAAGGGGGGGCTGCTGCCCTGCGTCCCCGGTGAGGGGCCGTGGGCGACGCAGCCTCCGGTAGGGACTTCCTGGCTGCCCCCCCCGACCCCCGCAGACGGTGTGTGCCCGAGACGGGCCGGGCTCTCGGCCGGGAGCTCCGCAGAGCTGCTCTGTGAGATTCCCGAAAACCGGGGCTTGGAGGGGACCGAGGGGGACGCTGCGTCCGTCGGGGCTGCTCCGAAGCACAGTGGGCGCCCCTGAGGAGCATTCTCAGAGGGGCCCCCGGCCGCCTGCGGGGGAGTCCCTGACACCCCCGGGTGGGTGGGCTCAGCCAGGGGAGGGGGGGGAGGAGGGGCGGGAAGCACCCCTCCTGGGCCAGGGGGTGTAGCGTCGTGGTTCCCAACTGGGGGCCGGTCTGCCCTGGTGCGTATTTGGCGACGGCCGGAGACACGTTGGGGGACTTGCTGCTGGGATCCAGCTCTAGGGGGGAGAGACCCGGGGTCCCGCCGCGCCCGGGACAGCCCCCCGGGGGTGAAGAGTGAGCTGGTCCCGCAGTGTCAGCGGGGCCCCTGCCGAGAAGCCCCAGTGCACATTCCGGATTTCTGCTTAAACCGCGGGGCCGTATCGGTGTGTGGCCGTCTGCCGACACTTGGCGGGGTCGGCGCGCCGGTCTCCGAGGGGCTTGGGCGGAAACAGCTCGGGGCCGGGCAGGTCGGCCACGGGTCGTGCTAACAGCTCTGCCTTTGCCGAGGCTCAGGGTGTCAGAGGAGACGCGTGTCCGGGGAGCCCAGGCCCCGCTGCCCAGGTGGGTGTCCGCTGTCAGAGTGCCGCGGGCCGAGTCACCGAGCCGGTCCTTGCTGCCGTTCCTCCCAGGGCCCCGGGCGCTCCCGGGTGCCGCCGGCCTCCCGCTCGCCTGGTCCGTCCACGCCCGCGGCCTCCCTCCGCAGGTCCGCTCCGGAACCAGAGGTGCCATGGCAGGGTGGGGGAGGGGCGTGGTGGGGTTGCCTGCAGGTTTTGGCCGTGGCAGCCAGGCCCCCCGGCCCAGAGCTTCAGCCACGACCCCCGTTCCCACCGTTCCTCTGAGCCTTGGAAGCTCAGGTCCGAGAAGGAACGCTCAGGGGTGGACGTGTACCTGCGTCCCCTGCGCTGCTCAGTCTGCAAGGACAGCCTGGCGGTCGTGGGGGGAGGACGGAAGACCCGCATGCGGGAGGGTCTGCCACGGAGCCCGGACTGCTCGCGGATCTCGAGGCGGGGCCTCCACCGCATCTAGACTGCCCGCGGGGGTCACGGCCCCGGCGCGGGGTGGGCGCCCACCCGCACGGAAGGGCGTCTGCCGCTGCCCGAGGACCTACATGAGGTGACTCGTTGTGAGAACGGTGGCAACGGCTTTTAACCCTCTGCCCGCCGTCTCGTAAGCATTCAGGAGGAAAAGGCAGGACGCGGGGCGAGTCCTGGCCACGGGCAGAGCGAACTCGCACCCAGCGCTGCGCTCGGGAAGGGCCGTCTGCCCGGGAAGCCATTCGCCACCTGTCCTGTGCTCCCCGGGCCGCTGAGCGGTTTGGGTCTCACGTTTCTGCCCCGCCGCCGCCGAGCAGCTGGGAAGCGCCCCCCCCCCCCCGCGGAGCGACAGAGCCGGTCGGGAAAGTCCCCACGCGGGGGCGGGAGGGGGGCGGGGGGGGGCGAGCGCAGCCTCGTTAGAGAAATCCGCGGAGGGAAACCGGCTCCTCGCAGCCGCAGCCCAGGCGCGCGGGGACGCGGTCTTTCCCCTCCTCGTCTGCGAACTGTTTTCTCCTCCGCGGTAATGAAAAATGTCACAATACACATTAACGTTTCAGGGGTTTTCGGAGACAAAAACACCGGAACCGCATAATTGCTTACACTCCACCGGGCCGGAGACTCCGCGGGCTCCTGTGAGGAGGACGTGCGTTCCCGATACAGGGACTGAGCAGCTTTGTGGGGGGAGACACTGGATTTAAACAAGCAAAAGGGGAAAAAAGGCTCTCCGTAGCTCGTCACCCACAGGTGGCCGCGTCTGCAGGGCGCAGGCCCCACGTGGCCGAGCGGGCTGAGCACGGTGGGGGGGGGGCGCGGAAGGTGCAGACTCGTGCGAGCGCACGCGGAGCGCGCGGCCGCATCGCTGCCCGCAGGGGCGTCCGGTCCCCCTCCCCCGCCTAGGAAGGCCCTCCTCCCCGCGTCCGCGCAGACCGGCCGCTCCTCGCCGACCTCCCCGCGGCAACCCCGGGCAGCGGGGCCGCGGGGGGGGGGGGGGACCGGCCAAGTGGGCGCGCAGCAGGGCCAAACCCTGCGCGCCGAGCTCGCGGCGGAGAAACCGGGGCCGCTCCCCGGGGGGACGCCGCGCAGGAAGCATGGGGAGCTGTGGCTTAGCGCCCGGACTCCTGACGGCTCTCCGTCAAGGTGAAGGTTGGGGGTCCGGGGTCGGGGCCGTGGGTGGCACTGATGGGTCAGTTCTGGGCGGCCTCCGCGCTGCACCTGCCCGAACAAGCGCAGTTTCAGAGACGTGCAGCCAGGTGCTTCCTGGAGGGAAGCCGTGCCGGTTGCTGTGTGTGTTTGGACCAGCCGCGCCGAGGGACCTCGGTCCTCACACCGCCCGCCACGGGGACCTCCGCTCCCAGGCGGTCCGCTGGATGGACCGGAGCAGCCTCCGACGCCCCTCGCGGCCCCGCCCCTCGCAGCCCCGCCCCCCCGCAGCCCCCGCAGCCCCCTCTCGCCCTGGGACAGCCAGGCACGCCTCCCAGACTTGATAACGCGCACGCTGCCTCCCTTCTGCCAAGGTGGCCCTCGGCCTGCCCGTGGTCTGGACACCAGGGTTAACTCGGGGCCAGAGCGTCTCGCCCGCTGGCCCCTGTTCGTGGCCTGAGGTCGCCCCGAGGTGTGTGGTCCTCCGGGCAGGGCGGCGGCCGGCTGACCTGCGGAGCGGCGGGGCGGGGGCCCTGGGGTGAGGACCCGCACGGAGGGGAGGAGAGGGAAGGCTCGCCCACCCAGGGAGGTTGCTGGAGACACTTGGCCTCTCGGTGTTTTCCCAATCCGTTAGCTAAGCCTGCTAACAGGCTGTGATGCCGGCTGTTATTTCCAAAAATAATTAATCAGAGGCGAAGCCAAAGAGCTGAGAGAGGTTAAGCTCAGCAGGACTGCCACGCGGGCTGAACCTGGCAGCGAGCACTGTTCCCGCGGTCCCTGGGCTCCAGACCCTGTAATTACGT